ATTTGTTTAAACAAATTAATTGAACCAGCATTTTTTTAATCATTTTCCAGATTATTCCATAATCTTATTTGTTGGACTGAAGCACAGCTGTCCTTCAAATTTGTTAGAGTTTTAGGTYACCAAACATCTCTAATCCCGTCAGATTATAGCAAACTTCCCTCTTAACAAAAAGTGATTGAATGTTCAAAGGTAATTCATTTTTTATGAGCCTTATGAACCTGCAGAATATTATAATCAACCAACTCATAAAACTTTAATAATTTTAACTGATGAAATAATATACTTGATGGGTGATAGTAATGTTTTCTATTCTTACAGCTCTTTTCTGTAAAATAAAAATAGAATTAGTGATTATTTCTGGAAACATTAATACTATATTGAAAAATAATTTTGATGAACAGTTGCTGTACTTGCATGTGAAGAAACAGGAAGTGATGACAATAAAGTTAACTTAGATTGCTACATTAACAAAACTAACCATAGAGAGGAACATGGCGTTTTATTATTATTTTGTGTCACAATCAGAGATGAAGAGGGTCAGTTAATGATAAGAGTACTATAATTATTGTTTCATGAAAACCATGGAGTTCCCCTATGATGTCACTTCCTGTTTCACTTTGAGCCAAGTTCCAAACAAAACCTGCCAATTTGTGACTAAATGGGTAAAACTATGAGTATCATGCAGATTTTCTGAAATATAAAGATGTTTTCTTTGACTTTATTTAATTTGAAGCATATGCATGTCGTTGGCACTTTAAAAACTGTAATAATGAAACATAATAGATCTAAAATAAAGAGTGCCCCATTGTGGGATAAATGCAACAAATTTCATAAATCACAATGAATAAATCAAGCTTTTTGGCCAACATTTACCTAATGTTCATTAATGTTCTTGATGTAAAAAAATCTGTAAAATTGAAGTAAATAGAAATTGTAGAGTTTTCACCACCAGGGGGCAGTAAATCATTAAAATACAGTCAATCTTGTTTTACAGCTTAATAATATGTTTGGAAATACCCAAACCTCTGATGAGTAAACTACATTAATGTGAGGTTTAGCAGGAAAAGTATTAGGCTGATGACACACGCTCTAACGTGCTGGTGACTGTTTTAAATAAAACATTAGTGCAAAGCTAAACGCTGTTCACTTTCCTCACAAGACATGTTYAGAATCACGACTTTTAATTTCCTCAAACCTGAAGGAACAATTTCAGACGGACGTAAAATCTCCTGTTTCCTCCCGGTTGTTTTCCAGTTGCTGCCAACGCTTTATTTTATTTTATTTTTTTTAATTGTCAAATGGTTTCCTGTGGTCAAAATGTGTCTAAAAAAAGGCAGGTGCACAAATTTACACACGTGACACACCACCGGCCTGACGTCTGCAAAAACATCACGCAACCTTAAAAAGAAACACATCCAGCCTTAAAAAATAAACTCTCTCTTTCCCACGGACCGACATCCCSTGGCTTCAGGCCCCAGACAAGCAAAGAGCTTCTGAGTGTTAGGTTTGTGTGTTTTGGTGTTCGGGGTCATGAGGTCAGCAGAATCAGAGCTGTTCTGAGGAGGCCCGTGTCTCAGTGGATCCAGCCCCGGTCCAGTCGCTGACTCACAGGAGGCAGCCCCAAAATGAGTCAGCGCCGTCCCTGTCGTACCTCAGAGCTCACTTTCTCCTGCTGCCATGACGTTTCCTGAGCCGCAACATTATTTCTGTGAGGTTTTATTTTAGCAGCAGAGGGGAGGCGAGCTGCGAGTGTCGGAGGAGAGAAAACACACACAAAAAAAAAAAACCCACGGAGCCGACGTTACGGAGAGTAAACGCAGACAGTGAGTGGGTGAGACGGAGTGGGTGGGAGAGAGAGAAGTGGTGAGCGCCACGGCGCGAGGGGGCTTCTGGGAGAGTTCAAACAAACACGACGCGAGGAGGATGGAGATATATGAGCAACCTGAGGAAGACCCAGATGAAGGTCAGGGAAATGTGAGTGACATTCCAGGCCTGCCAACCAACGACCGGCCAGAGTGTGGAGAGGATACAGTTACAGACATTTTTAAAATTTATTATGGTGTAGCTCAGCCTCTGCTGGGAACATCTTTTCACACTTTGCAGAAAATGTTCACAAAATACTTTGACTTCAGGGGGTTCACRTCACATTTATCTGAAACATGTGTTTTTCTAGCAGACGGGGCAGTTTTAAAGGGCCAATATTATGTGTTTCTCAGGCATATATTTAAATACTATACCATAGTAAATTATCCATGTCACCTTTAGCTGTCATTAAAATGCTGTTTTTATGTTTAAATAGAAAATAAACTTATCTTCTCATCACKTCCTCTTCTAAACGCCTTGAAATTGGTCTCTGTCTCTTTAAGAACCACCTTCTGCTTCAGTCCCGCCCTGTTCGGGGGGAGGGGCTATGATGCAATTTACTTGGCATCTGAAAATACATTGTCTCAAAGGTATTTTTAATCTGAAAAGAGCTTCACTGAGTGAGAACTAATGTTGAGAGCTCAGCAGACAGTTAAGTTTCACTTTCACTTTCACCCGAGAGCCTGCAGGAGTCATGGGCGGGGTGTGTGGGGAGGGGGGAGGGGGTGCACTCTAACATGAGGAAGTTCAGCTCAAAGACACGACCCAGGGGTGTTTCTGGTACCAAAAGGTGTTTCTGGTCCCCACCTGTCGTTTTGCTCCTCAGCATGGCTTCATAAAACCACTGCAGGATTTCTCAAACATGATGAATGAGTCAAAGCAAGACTTTGGGCATGTTTTTATCAGAGTATAACATTAAAACATGATATAAAACTCAAAAAAGTTGATTTTATATATTACCCCTTTAAAATAAATTGTGATTTTTTTTTTCAGGAAAGCTCCGCCCACTCTTATTTCCGCTCACCCTGCACAAGCTTGTTCTGAAGTAATCGTTCATTTCAAACAGTTTCTGCGTCACAGATGGAGGCTGACGGAGCTTTAAGGCCTCCGTGTTGAAACCAGCRTCCTGGACGGTCCCTCCGGTTCCTGCTGCAGGAAGATGAGGAGCTGGAAACATCTCGTAACTGGAAAWTTAAAAAAAGCCATGAATACCTGAACGAAGGAAAAAGAATCTGCCGCTGCTTCACCTTTCCACATTAAAACCTCCTCTGTGTTTCTTGGAAGCCTGGTGGGTTTTGGGCGGGAGCTGGAAGCGTGGAGAAAGTCTTGGTGTTTGGATCCTGTTGAGCGAGTTTTTACTCGTCGGCCGAAAGTGTTTTATGTTTTAAACCAGAAGAAGCTGAAGAATGAACTGTTCAAACAAACAGAAGCTAAAATCAGCARAATCRTAACTTAAAGCTAAAATTAGCAAACCTGTTRCTAAAAACCTCATCTGACGTAACAGTGGCTGAACACTTATTATGCAAAACCATTACTACAGGCTAAAATAAGCTAAACTGAGCTGAAAGTTTAACACAAAAAGCATATTAAAATCTCAAATTAGCAAAACATTAGCAAAATGCTATAAACAATAGCATAAGCATAAAGCAACAAAACAGTAGCTAAAATCCAAAATAAACTAAATTGCAATTAAAACATCAAATTTGCAAAACTGTAGATAAAAGCTAAACTTAGCAAAAATGGTAACAAAAATCTAACAATAATGAAAAGCATGAATTGACACAACGTAAATACTTCAATTAACAAAACATGTAAAAACTAAAACAAGGAGAATTGTGTCTGAAAGTTAAACTTTTATTTTCTATAAAAGGTAAAATTAGCTAAATAGTATAGCGACATGCTAAATCTCACAAAAACAGTAGCTAAAAATTAAAATAAGCACCATTAAAAGCCTAAATTTGCTAAACTGTAGCTAACAGCTAAAATTATCAAAAATGTAGCTGAACTCAAAAAGGTGTATAAAAGCTAAAATCTAACAATAGCAAAAGCTAAAACTGATTTGTCAATACCTAAATTAAACACTATGTAAAAGCTAAAATAATCAAAAGTGCTACTTAAAGTTAAAATTAGCAAAACATTAGCTGCATGCTAAAATTAGCAAAACAAAAGCTAAAATTAACAACAGTTAAAAACTTGATATTGCAAAACAATACCTAAAGGCTAAGAAAGCAAAAGGCTAAAAGCTAAAATTGACAATGATAAAGATGTGCAAAACATTAGCAAAATGCTAAAAACAAACAATAGCATAAGCATAAAGCAACAAAACAGTAGCCAAAATCCAAAATAAACAAAATTGCAATTAAAACATTAAATTTTGCAAAACTGTAGATAAAAGCTAAACTTAGCAAAATGTTAACAAAAAGCTAACAATAATGAAAAGCGTGAATTGACACAACGTAAATACTTCAATTAACAAAACATGTAAAAACTAAAACAAGGAGAATTGTGTCTGAAAGTTAAACTTAGCAAAAGCATTCTCCATAAAAGGTAAAATTAGCAAAATAGTATAGCGACACGCTAAATCTCACAAAAACAGTAGCTAAAAAATTAAAATAAGCACAATTAAAAGCCTAAATTTGCTAAACTGTAGCTAACAGCTAAAATTATCAAAATTGTAGCTGAACTCAAAAAGGTGTATAAAAGCTAAAATTAACARAACAGTAGCAAAAATCKAACAATAACAAAAGCTAAAACTGATTTGTCAAYACCTAAATTAAACACTATGTAAAAGCTAAAATAATCAAAAGTGTTGCTTAAAGTTAAAATTAGCAAAACRTTAGCTGCATGCTAAAATTAGCAAAACAAAAGCTAAAATTAACAACAGTTAAAAACTTGATATTGCCAAACAACACCTAAAGGTTAAAAAAGCAAAAGGCTAAAAGCTAAAACTGACAATGATAAAGATGTGCAAAACAGTAGCAAAATGCTAAAATGAACAAAACCAGAGCTAAAAGGTAAAATAAGCAATATTGCAGCAAAAACGTTCGAATTAACTAAATCATAGCTAACAGCTAAAATGAGCATAACACAGCTAAAGAAATGTCAGTTTAATATTATATTTTAAATAAAAAAACAGCAAACATCATACATAAATATTTATAACCTGGTTTATTWCAGAGTTTTATCTGGTGTTTAAAGATAATTTGTAAAAGATAAATCCTTATCTGTCTTTTGGCATCAGTTAAAACACGAGTTTTAACATGTTTTGTTTGACAGACAGTACTGATTGTTGAGCTAACAGTAAGAATAACATTGTTAGCCTGTGAAATCATGACTCCACAGCTTAGCGTGAGGCCACACACAGCCACAACCTAATCCATTCTTTACGGTAAAAATGTGAAGCAGACGACAGGAGGCCAGTTTTCATCAGGTCTCGTCCCCAGCAGCTCCCATCCCATTGAACAACAGGAAATTTAGAAAACGTCCAAACATAATTAAATAAAGACAAATTGCAACAAGAAATGAAAACAGGCAACATTCCTTCAGAATAAGATAAGGATTAAGTGAGCTCAGTTTCAACCACCTTGCATGACTTTCTCTCCCATATTCTTTTCCGTGCATCACCGTTCAGGACTTTTCTTCCCACTAAAATCTCTTAAAACTCTCAACCATTCACATCTAATTTAGTCATCATCCCTTTGGTTAAAGCCTTTTCATGTCGCCTCCTCTCTGTTTGATGTGTGCTGGGCACGAGAACAAGGGATGGGACACACACCCCAAACAGGAAATGAGAAATTTAAGGCAAATAGAGCCGTGGCAGCGTGGCTCGGAGGAGAACGGCCTCGTAGGGAGGATTACAGGACGACGGAGCGATCAGACAGCCGAGGAGGATGTGAAGCAGACTCCATGAATCAGGAGAAGTGTGCTGAATGTGGGTACGAGGGAAGAAAGACAGCAGCTTCCTGGACAGATTTAAAGACAGCGGCCACCCATGATGCAGCTCTGCATCGCCCCGTGACGCCAACCAGCCCACTCAGTCCGGTCTGAGCTTTCAGTCCTCACTTTAGAAGAGACACAAAGTGAAGTTATCAGTCTCACCTGGATCCAACAGGCCCAGGTCCTCGTCCTGCAGCAGCACCAGCATGAAGGGGTCCATCGCCCACCCGTCTCCTCTTTGATGGGGCCTTGTGGTCGGGCTGTTTCACACGGTAGTTAACAGGAGCTGTGGACGGTTTATTTTACATCACAGGCTGAGTTACTCTTTATGAGCAACACACTGTTAACGGTCAAACTTTCCCACTGAAGCAACACAACACAACACAACACACACACACACATCATACCTGACTCAGACATGTCTGGATGTCAACCATCTGAGCATGAGGTGACTGAAGATAAGAAAATAAACTGAACACACACACACACACACACACACACACAC